CCATAGAACACACTATACATGTTCCAAGTGGGCATTATACACTCAAACATATGCACCCACTGCACAGACAATTCTGGAGCCAGGAACCTTATGCACACACACACACACACACACACACACACACACACACACACACACACACACACACACACACACACACACACACACACAACACAAGACGGTTGATTTGTTTTTCTCTTCCGGGTGCTGTTTGTGATTGTTTTCTTGTATGTTTTTTTTTTTTCTTAAACTTGCAGCTTTTGGCGATTTATTGCTTCTCTGTTCTCTTTATCTTTTTATATATTTTCTGCCCCTTTTTTTTTCTCTCTCTCCTACTTTTCAGCTTTGACACTGTTATGTTACACATGTACTGTAATAACAGAAATAATGTTCATAGAAATTAACAACTTAACATGTAAAAGAAGCACATGAACAAGAGTAGCCAAGAGAGAACTTAAAGCGCTCATCTTGGAAAAAAAAATGTGTTTGTTACCACGCTGCATTCAGATCATAATTCTGATTGCAAAAGCTGCCAGACAACAAAGGCTAGAAAATTTTTTTAAACTTAAGACATAACTGACTCCATCTAAGAATAAACACACATAAACTAACCTACTGGACACAAGAAAGGAGGATATGTTAGTGTTGGTGGTGATTAGCTCATGCCCATCTAGCTGTCTGTATGGAGTTTGGATGTCTGTGCGTGTTCTCTGTGGTTACTCAGCTGTTGTGCCACAGTCCCTACTTAGCAGGATTATTTTAACAGGTGATTGTAAATTGGCAATATGTGCAAATGTGACAGTAAATGTAGGGCTGGATATTCACAAATCTGGAAATACATACTGTATACATAATTGACAGTTATCCATACCTCATTTATTTCATGATTTTATTTCATTATATACCTGTGGCACAGTGATTAGCACTGTTGCTTTACAGCAAGAAGGCTTGGATTTCATCTCCACTATGTGGCCGGGGCCTTTCTATGTGGAGTTTTCATGTTTTACCCGTGTTTGTGTGGGTTCTGTCCGGGTATGCTGCATGCAGTTAGAGGTATTAGGTAAACTGGTGATTCTAAATTGCACATAGGTGTGAATGACAGTGTGAATTTTTGTCTGTATCTATGTCTTAGGTCTGCAACAGACTGGCAACCTGTCCAGAGTGGTACCCCGCCTCTCGTCCAATGGTTGCTGGGATAGGCTTTGGCCCTCATAAGGATAAGCAGAAGAGAATGAATGGATGGATCTGCACTCTGCACATATAAATATAAATATGCTTTATTTTCTGTGTCATGTTGCTATTGTCTGTTTGTCTACTCTGTTAAGGACACAAGCTAAATTACTTGTATGTGTACACATACCTGATATTCTACACTATAATCTACAAATTGTATAGAATATACTATATTTCTGAAATATTATGTTTTAAATTATGGCTCCACAGTGTAATTGTTTACACATTTGCCTACAAAGTGAACAATCCCCTGTTATATCCCGGGAGGTGACAAATCCCTCGGGTTGCATCAACACAGGCATCTGGCATAAAAATGTGCCAAATCAAACATGCAGAGGTTCCTGCAGTGGTGATCATGTGGGAATAAGGGCGCGTCTTTAAGTAGCTTTATACAAATATTTCCACTACACTTTGTGTAGTTTGTCTACTAGAACGATTGTCTCTGGCATCAAGTCATGCATTCCAGAACTTCAGGTGAAATGGAAATGTTCATACATGCTGTCATACCTCAATTACTGTCCAGAATGCTGCTTCAAGGATTTGCACGGAGTCCTCTATAAGGTAATGTGTGACGTCTTTACATAGGCTAGTCATAAAGTAGGATTGGTAAATGCACTGTTCTTGTATAGTGCTTTTCTACTGTCCTTGAGTACTCAACAAGCTTTATACAACATGGTGCATTCACACATTCATGCAGTCACTTTTTCCTGTGCCTAAGTTCTTTCTATGTAGTATTCAAACACATTCCCACTCTCATGAAAGCATCAGAGAGCATCTTGGGGTTCAGTTTGCAGGTGGTGCCTCTGGTCACATTACAGAAAATAAAGAGACTGCTTTTGAGGTTGTAATATCCAACCTGTGGAAGTTGGTTCAATTGGTATAAAGCTGTGTTGTTTTAATGTTTCAAATATATACATTTTTAGAACATTTTCTGATTCACTATCTGTGATTTGCTTAAAAATGTTAATCTTTTGGTTCAAAGTTTGAACATATGTGCTTTTACCTTCATATATCATAGTTTTCAGGCCATTTTGGCACATTGGAATCTGAGGCCATTCTTGAATATACCTTAAAAACAATTAAAGATAAAAGTATGACATTTATATTGCCCTTTCTTAATTTAGATCTATAATTTGAAAGAAATACATTACAATATCTGAGATGTCACTAGTTAAAATATTTAACTTTCTCTGATCTCGCCTTACCTCTGGCAGCCGTGGCATTGTGGTTAGAGTTGGGTTAAGGGGTTAGGTGTTAAGCTGAGGTATTTAGGGTTTGTGTCTTATTAGCATCAGACTACCAATTCTGTCATGTGGACACAGCAGCTGGGTCTTGCAAGACTACATTATTATTCTAGGGGCCATGTTATTCATTGCTAAGTATATAAATTACTTGCTTGATGTTAAATAAGGAAATGGACTTCATGCCTATGAATAAACACAATTTAGTCTATGGGAAGCACCAGCACAGTTTGGTAGATTTTTAAGTATTTTTTACTTCTTCTTCTTCTTCTTCTTCCTTCCCCTTTAAATTAATAATTTTTTTAAAATTACTATTGATATTTCATGTGTTTTCATCATAGCACATGAAATATAAATCCTTTGAAGTATACATATATAATGTCTGCTTCTCTGTCTCCGTTAGGTTAGAATATATAATCATTTTTCTAAAGCTCCCATTCCTTAATCAGCCCAAAGATACTTCTCTTCTGCCTGATTGCATTCACAGACCCATATCAGCAGTAGCATCTGGAGACTTTGTGGAACTGTCTTGATGTGGCAGATAAGCTGCCCATTATAGATAGGTCAGCAAACCCTCTGCTTAAGAAATGTATAATTTTGTCTTATTTCACAATTGATTTTTTTTCTATTTAAGAGCCCCTTGCAGGTTTAGAGTAAATATTGTCAAATGGCCAGACTACAAAATCAGCAGTGTTTGAGTTCATATCTTTGCAAGCATTTATACTTTGAAATGCTGGACTAATTCGTCATATAGTAAAATGGAAAAACTTTGGGGAAAATACCTTTCATTGCCTCCATATAGTCTTTAAGTGTCATTAAGTGCCAGTCTTAATCCTATAATTTACTGCCCTCTTGATGGCCACAGTTAGTTGTTGTCTTTGGGAGCTGGACTTCTGGACTACCAGTAACGGAAATGGTGAGCTAACACGTTTAACATATTGATAGATCCTAAGTGTTTTGCCATTTTTTAAGTAGTGTGTCTCACAAAATCAGTTATTTGGCAAAACCTTTGCCACCCAACACCCCTCTTTAGACACGCTCCTGCTATAGCTATCACATTATTAATGCCATGTCACTCCTAAATTAGACATCATCAGAAGCATACTACATGGGCTGAGGGCAAAAAGAACTGGAGTGATGCTTAGTGATCCATAGTCCTCTTTAGGGTGGAAGAGAGTGATACAAGAATGAGCCTTTAACCCAAAGGCTCATGTTTGCAAAAATAATATTGTAAAATGCCAGAAATTTAAAAATTACAGAGATATTTTTCTAATGTTTGCATATTTTCCAGAAATATTTAAGTAACATTTTCAATAACATTTTCAATACTCTCATAGTGAAATTATTGTTTGCAACGTGTTATTCGAGCCTTCTGAATTTTAGTTACATTAATAAATTTTAATAAACCTTAACCAAGGTGTGGAAGTAGCTTTTTGTGAAAAGCTACATTTTTAGACTTATGCAGTCCTCAGAAGACAGAATTGGTACAACAATGTCTTATAAAAGTTTCAAATATAATTTAAAATTTGTTCAAAATATAAATGTATGTTTTAGTCTACTCCAACCTTGTCTTACTAAATACGAGCCAAACAATCCAGCTCAACCAAAATTTTAAGTTCAGATGGAAAAACATACCTACTCCACAGAGAAAGGGCTGCTGTGATATTTAAAAAACATTTTTTTTAAAAGATTTTCCAGCACTGTATCATGTATGTAAAGTAAATGTAAAGTATGTAAAGTGTAAAGTATGAGATTTATAGTTCAAATGTAAAAGCAGTGTAATGTGACTGAGGAGGAAAAACTCTGAATAGCATAAAATACTGTAGATTTGAAAGCTAACTAAGTGTAATAATGGAAAACTTTACACAAACAACCAGTAATGTTCATTATAGCTTATTCTAACATTTTAATGAAATGCTGAAAATCACCCACTTCCACTAAGGGCTTGATGGATATAGGTCCAACAAGAAATGCAGTTCAGGAAATAAGTCTCATGTGCTGCGTTTCAGTGAGCTTAGATCTTCACTTGTCCCTATGACAGCACCATTAAGACTTCTGTGCACACAGGAGCAATTGCAGATTGACGGAATGCTGCATTGTTAGCAAGACGTTTGGGACGCATATAATTCCTTTTATTTTTTGATCTATTTAGTTTACTATTTAAATGATGAACGTATTAACTCAATTAGAACACTGCAGCAGCAGCAGCAGCCGTGCAATCACGAGGCCTGGCGTTACTGACAGCAGTATAAAGAGGATGGAGATGAGAGAGGCCCACGGGCCAATAAAGAAGACACGAAAAGACAATGAAAAGGAAAGGTTTGAACGGGTAAAAGACGAGCTTTAATACACGCTGGAACAGGAAAGGTGAGGATGACAACGATCGGGCGACGACAGATATAAAAATCCTACCAATCTGGACGCTCGGAGATCCGCACAATGCCCCGCGCCATAAGAGTGCCACCAAAAATAGCAGCTTCATTGTGGTGTTCAGGATCCTCGCACAACACCACAGCATCTTACGATAGAGGTTCCTACCAAAACATCACCTCCATCAAAGACGATGTAATCTCATGGCGTTATTCCGGTGTTATTTAGAAACGTGTCGGTCTCTGCAGATGCGCGATCCTGTCGCCTGAGGTGCGCGTGCTGCTGCTGAAGCTGGACTTGAGGGCGCGCGCACTGAATTGCCCAGGAATGCCGATGAAGCACGAGAGAGAACCGAGAGCAGCCGACTGCTGCACATGAGGTTATTATAAACCTCCGCTCGAGGAGGCTGACACAAATTCTAACATAACAGATGCACACTGGGAATTTTTACAATAACTAATTTCTAATTGCATTAAGCAGTGCCTAAACACTATTATAATAATTATATTATATACATTATAATTATGATTTCCTTCTGTCTTTTTTTTATTATCGTAATCATTACATGCGCCTTTAAATATGTTACTATGTATTTTCACATTGCTGTATAGCAGCTGTGTCTATATATATTGCCGTGTTACGTAGGGCAAAAAGAGACTGAAGCCATCCCCACCCAACGCCCGGCTACCTCTATATCACAGCTAACGGAGGGTATATAGATCTTAAAATCCAGCCTTATGTGACTGAAAATGATCCAAGTGCAAAAACAGAGCTTTTCTGTATGTCCTAATAATAAGGCATTTGGATTCTTACTCAAAGATAAATCAAAATTAGTTAGATCTATATATAAATGTGAAATGTTGTTTGAGTAGTGAAAATGTTCTAATGGCTCAGTATTGTGTCTGTGATTGTGCGTGTGTGCACATGAGCCAGGAATGCAGGAAGACAATAACTGTGTTGTCACACAAAATCCTGAATCAGAACAATAATTGTTAAACACAGAACCAGGATTTATATGAGGTTTTACTACTGCAATCGCTTAAAACTGATCAAACTGTAACACAGCAAATGTAAATATGTTCAATTGGTCAATACTGGCATGTTGAATCGAAATAAAATAAATAAAAATAAAAATGTTTAAGTTAACTAGTATAATAAATCAATAAATGTGATTCTAATAACTGGCCTCACTGAGAGCCTGTACAGAGTCTGACCTTGGTGTGTGTGTGTGTGTGTGTGTGTGTGTGTGTGTGTGTGTGTGTGTGTGTGTGCCGGTTTGGTGCAGGATGGGTCAACATGACACACTGGAGCCACTAATTTCAGTGAATGTCTGACTCACAAAATGTATGATTTTATAAAAGAAGTTGACTAAAATAAATTTTAAAAATAAATAAACGTTGATTGACAAACATTATGAAAAGAAAGTGTTATCTTCTGTATTTGAATTATAAAGGAATTATGTTACAATAAATGTTCATGTGAAAATGTGCTAAAAACAAATCTGAATTACATAAACTGAATGAAACAGAATAAATTATATCCATGTGTGACTGAATATTTAAATGTGATGTGAACTCTCTATACAAGAAATAACAAAGAATATGTAATAAAGTGGTTTTAAAGGTTAAACTTTGTGTTAAAGTTGGATAAACAGAGACTGATAGATAGGGTGTGGGTGGACACTGGATGATTAGACGTAAACAGCTTGACTGAATGACCAAAATATGAAGATGTGATGGCTAGCATGAGAGGGGTTAGAAAAGTGGGCTGTAATAGAGATTTGGGTTCTTTCCTTTTTGTCTTCTGTGAGATGAGCAGTTCAGAAGATTAGATCTAAGAGGTTCAAGTTAAAATTCCAGCAGGGATGCGAGTGTGAAAACAGCAGCACAATCTGTGAACCTGTGAATTGATCTTGTAATTTTTGTCTTTCCATCGCATCTCATTTTTTCCATGTTATGTGGTTAATTCACAAGGATTTTGGTTTACATTATACTTCCACTGGATGGCCAGCTGTTTGGAGATGATCATCTACTTGGAAACAAAGGGATAAGTGCAACTTTAGGTCTGGTTGTGCTCATTCTCTCTCCAACCTCTCTTCACCAAAGATAAGAACAAAATCAGCATTAGCTCAGAGTAGGTAAGTTATATAAGTATAGATTAAGTGATTTGGTTATTGTTTTGTCATTATTACTATTTGCTAAATTGCTTTAGTATAATCCCCTGCAATTAAAGTTTAAATTGTGGACATTCACTTATTATCCTTTAGTGAAACACATTCGGCACAGGATTATCTGTACAGAACATGGCCCGGAAGTCCCGTTCCCTAGGGCAGTTGAGAATGATCGAGCTAACATCCTGTGGGACTTTTACAAATGGACAAATGGTGATGGTGGATGACCAGAGGAAGAAGGCTATAGTGTAGCAACATGTAGTGATGGCAACACGAGGAAAAGGAACACGAGATGCTTGTGAAATAACAAGGGCTGAGTGAGGAGCTCTAGGGTGGAGGAATAATTTTTATTATTGAACAACAACCATGTTCTCAATGAACCCAAAAAACTCATTAATATCAAAGCTGAATGTTTTTGGAAGTAGTTTTTAGTTTGTTTTTAGTTTTAGCTATTTTAGGGGGATATCTGTGTGTGCAGGTGACTATTACTGTGCAGAATTATTAGGCAACTTAACAAAAAACAAATATATACCCATTACAATTATTTATTTTTACCAGTGAAACCAATATAACATCTCCACATTCACAAATATACATTTCTGACATTCAAAAACAAAACAAAAACAAATCAGCGACCAATATAGCCACCTTTCTTTGCAAGGACACTCAAAAGCCTGCCATCCATGGATTCTGTCAGTGTTTTGATCTGTTCACCATCAACATTGCGTGCAGCAGCAACCACAGCCTCCCAGACACTGTTCAGAGAGGTGTACTGTTTTCCCTCCTTGTAAATCTCACATTTGATGATGGACCACAGGTTCTCAATGGGGTTCAGATCAGGTGAACAAGGTGGCCATGTCACTAGTTTTTCTTCTTTTATACCCTTTCTTGCCAGCCACGCTGTGGAGTACTTGGACGCGTGTGATGGAGCATTGTCCTGCATGAAAATCATGTTTTTCTTGAAGGATGCAGACTTCTTCCTGTACCACTGCTTGCAGAAGGTGTCTTCCAGAAACTGGCAGTAGGACTGGGAGTTGAGCTTGACTCCATCCTCAACCCGAAAAGGCCCCACAAGCTCATCTTTGATGATACCAGCCCAAACCAGTACTCCACCTCCACCTTGCTGGCGTCTGAGTCGGACTGGAGCTCTCTGCCCTTTACCAATCCAGCCACGGGCCCATCCATCTGGCCCATCAAGACTCACTCTCATTTCATCAGTCCATAAAACCTTAGAAAAACCAGTCTTGAGATATTTCTTGGCCCAGTCTTGACGTTTCAGCTTGTGTGTCTTGTTCAGTGGTGGTCGTCTTTTAGCCTTTCTTACCTTGGCCATGTCTCTGAGTATTGCACACCTTGTGCTTTTGGGCACTCCAGTGATGTTGCAGCTGTAGAAAGTAATATTAAATAAATTCTAACAACAGCTTATCAAGGTTAAAGATGCTGCTGTTGTTTATCCGCTGGTTTCCTCTTTCTGGTGCAAAGTGGGCGATAAACAAACAAGAGAGACGGAGTCGTGACAGAAAAGCAGATCAGCTGATCATTAAGCAGTTTCATGATTGAAGTAGCAGCAGGAGAGGGAGGGAGAGAGAAGAAGCAGTCGCTCCATATATCGGTTGTTAAGCTTGACGTGGGAATACTTTACAAACATTCAGAGATGAACTTACACACTTGCTTTACTTCTCTCGGGGATAACTTTGTCGGAGATGAAATGCCGGGTTGGTAGCGAGGCTCCAAATGCTCAACCAGACCGCTGACAGGTCTCACACGCCACAGCCGCTCTATCACGTGATCCATACTGCTCCGACGTGCTAAGGTTATGAGCCGAGTTACGCCATGTCACAAGTTTTGTGAGGTGCTTTCGTGACATTTAATGGATCAGATTACATTTTTTATTTCTCTCCGATATCCAATCCAGTAATTTAGGCCAGTATCTCTAACCAAGACATTTTGGACAACTTCATTCTCCCAACTTTGCAGAAAATGTTTGAAGATAGCCCCTTCCTGTTCAAACATGGACCTGCAAGGTCCATAAAGACATGGATGAGCAGATTTGGTGTGAATGAATTTGACTGGCACGAAGTCCTGACCTCAGACCAACAGAACACATTTGGGATGTAGAATGGAGAAGAAGCATACTTTTAAACCTAGCTGTTAAAGCTGGGTTAAGAAGAAAGGATATGATCAGTGAGCTGCAGTAGGCATTATATTGCTCCTCACTGATCAGATGCAATGTTTGCTGTCAAAGTGTTGATGCAGAAGTATAGAGAAGGTCAGAAGGAGCTTCATTGTATTTTTGTGGGTCTAGAGAAAGCACATATTAGGGTACCAAGAAAAGAAAAAGTCAGTGTTTAGGTGTGAGGGAGAAATTACAGATGGGTTCAATGTGGGGGTGGGACTACATCAGTGATCTGCTCTGAGCTCCTTTATGTTTGCACTGCTGATGGAAAGCCTGACAGATGTGGTTGGGCAGGAATATAGGATATAATATAGGATTATAGTGTTTGCAGATGACATTGTAATCTATTTTGAGAGAAGGGAGTAGGTGGCTCCACCAATCCTAAAATCCATATACAGTTTTAGAATAACATATGCGCCCATCCAGATTACACCTTTTTCAGATGTATAATTCATATACATGATATTCAGCAAGATAATGCTAAACGCTATACTGCATCCACTAAAACACTAAGGTTTCATATTAGAAAAGTTGTTGGACTGGTTTGCCTACTTCCAGACCTGTTGGCAGCTGAAAACATCTGGCCCATCATGAGCCAAAAAACATGACAAAGAAGACCCAGGACTGATTAGCAGCTCTATTTTTTCTTAAAATGGACCAGTTCCTCAGTTTAAACTGCATTCTGTAGTTTACATTTTACACACTGCCTGAAGTGTTTTGGATTTGGCTTTGTTTTAACAATAAAAATATTACTTAACCTCAGTTTTCTAATGCCAAAAACACTCTAAAGTCCAAATGCTACAGATTAAAGAGAAATAAGGTAAAGAGAGCTCAATTTCAGATCTTATACTAAAAATACTGAAGGACAAACAAAAGATGCTGAAAAGGCTTAGGGGACCTAAATGGTTTTGCTGTCTTCTTGAATTTATTGCCATTGTTACCATGGGTACATTTTCTTTGAGAATGTGAACTGCTTCATGTTGTGTTTATTTTGTTTGTGTTTAAAAATAAATAAAACAAACAAACAAAAAACAAGCAAAAAACAAATACAGCACATCTCTTCTTGGGGAAAAGAAAATTTTATTCACTTCCACAAAAATGATTCAAGTTCTTTGCAGTGCTGGGAAGACAGTACTTCTGAAATATATATCATGGCAATATATATTTCAAGAAAGGGCATAGCAAACAATTTAGCAACTGGCAGTCAAGCTTAGCTGGTACTTAAAACTGTGCAATCTAACGTCAAAGTACTCTAGCAGTTAGTTAGAACACTCCAGCAAAAAGATATATCATCGATCTTTAGTGAAATTTGACATATTGCATAATGTCATCAGTCTACTATATATGTATTTGATTCAGAGTCAGAGCCACATGGAAATATTTCTGATTCTTTTCCTGTTCTTGCCCATTCATTTAAATCACATCTCCACAGTTTTCTATTTGGCATTTTAAGTGAAGAGTTTCTTCCTTTTGTATGATTATATCTTTACATACTGGAATGTTACTGACTGAGCTGATTACACTTTATGTTACAAAGTACAGATAGCATGAAGTTATTCATAAAAAGCAAGGTGTCATAAGAACTAATAATTGTTAAATTAAACTTTGGAGTAGTTTTTCTGTAATGTTATGCTATGTAACATTAACTCCTTGCATTTTGCATACGGTTTTTCAAATTAAGAAAAAAAAGAACACAATATATGTATGTGTGTATTAAAAATAACAGAGAAATATTCAGCAGCAGCAATTGTTCCTTGTTTTGTAATAAGATTGCACACGGGACAATAAGCCTAAATGTCAAGTCTCTAGTGAGATGTAGGTATCAAAAAGATCACACTAGACAACAAATAGTTAATAGTTACACTGCGCAAAAAATTAAAGCACCACTTTGAAAATGCATCAGATCTAAATATGGATTCAAACGCACCCTGAAAATCGAAGTAAAAAAATTATGGTGCTGGCTAGTTCATTTTGACAGAATTTAGTTCCTTCCACTCAACATGGTACTCAGTAGTCAATATAGGCCCCACACGCTTGTCATTCCTGACAGTTCCTAATGAGATTCTTCAAAGAGTAGTTGTAAAACATTTAACAAGATCATCTGCAGAGGAATGGTTTATTTGAAGAGTTTCAGTCAGGTTTCAGAGCTCATCACAGCACAGAAACAGCTTTAGTGAAGGTTACAAATGATCTTCTTATGGCCTCTGA